AGCAAAGATAGCGGAAATAGAATTGAATGATTTAGTACAATTTACAACTTTCCTAATCATTTGCTTTTCTTATCTGTCACTAGAAAGTAACATTGACGCAAATATATAAAATATTTAAAATTGTTTTTATTATAATATCAAAACAGAAATAAGAGCAATAAGAATGGATAAATTTTGGAAGAGAAAGAAGAATGAATTTGCATTTTTTACAAAGAGAAAAAAAAGTTAAAAGGATCAAAATTTTCATTTTTCTTCTTATACTTTTCATTCATTGAATTGATTACAGCGACATTTACTGTTTATTCTTAATTGAAAAATTCCAAATGCACTCAGTACGTATCGAAAAATTTGAATAATTAAGAAAGATTGGAAAAATAATTTCAAAATTCTTTCTGAAAATTTTCTAAGATAAATTTTGTCAACAAAAATGCATGGAGAATTTTCCTTTGAAAAAATAAACTGGCTAAAAAACTGAAAATAATAAAAAAACTGATATACCATTAATACCACAAAAACGTGGATGAAAATCCTATCGAAGATTTAGCAAATACGATATTTTCGTAGGATTTGCAAATTTGGAAACTCTCAAATTCAAAAAAAAAAATTAGTATCTTTAAAAAATATTCCGTGCTTTTAGCATTATTATTTTAAAAAAATTCAAATTTCATTTCACAAATTTGTAAATTTCCAAATTTATTCAAATTAGGAAATTCACAAATTGGTTAATATTGCTAGGCGCTATTCACAAATTCACAAAATGAAATAGTTATAAAATTAAAACAATAAGAGAGGGATGGTATTAACATGTTCCATTGTTGTTTTTTAAACATTCTAAGGATTTCCTTCCTGCAGATTTCGAACAATAAATTTGGATTTCATGGAACACGAAAATTTCGAATTAATTTTTCGATTCAAGCAATAATATCTCAAAAACATCTGGCAGATCTTACAAAGAGTTATTTGAAACATTTATAAGCAACTAATTGTGAAGTAATTTTAAATTTTCACGTGATGTACGAAAAAAAATTATGAAATGAAATTCAATCACCTATCATTACAGGAATGAAGACATTTGAAAAATTTCTTCCACAACTATCAAAAAGCATTATTTAAGCTATATAAAAAAATGGAACAATTACAGTATCCGGAGAAATTAAGTTTGAAATTCTAACAAATTCTAAATTTTTAAAATGCGATGGATGAGAAGTGAGTAACGGTTTCACCTTTAGACAATCGCAAACTGTGCCAATTTAGTGTGTGTGTATGTGTGTGTGTGTGTATGTGTGTGTGT